TGGTTCACATCTTCTTTGCTTAAATTTCAAAACTTCCGATAAAATTTATTTTACTTTCTTCCTCACTTTTTTTTGTAATAGGGATGGAATGCTTTAATCTGGATAACTGATTCACTCTACTTCTCATACACTATTTCAAAGACTGTCTCTTTAACTCATGGACTTCCCCCTCTTCTGTGTCTATTAAAATCATTTTCCTATTCATAATGGTATCACTTTTGAAGCTATCCTGAAATTCTGACACCCTTCGCCACCACCTCGCCCAGTGACTTCTCTTGCACTCCTAGTAATTATTAATGTGATTTCTGACAATGGATGTAACTTGAACTAGATAAACTCTCCAGTACCATTGAATTTTATGGTTCTAAACGATAAAGTCCTTGAAGACAGGACGTTATCTCATTACTTGTTTTTATCAAGTACATACAATTCATGATAATAAAATTCATTAATCTATGATAATAAAATACATTAATCTATGATAATAAAATGATGCCCAACTATAAAAGTCTAAAATAAATTGATCTCTTGTGCCAGTTACCAATGTACTCCCTCTCAGCTCCTAAACCACCTTTCACCACCTGCTCTGTGATAACAAAGCTGGACCTTGTTAAGTGTTTCTCCCTTTGCCAGCTGGCACAGAGTTTAACTTTGTCAGAAGAGGGTGCTTACATAGCCACAGTCCATAAGGAAAGCACCTTCTCTTGTCAGCTTCTCTGCGGATAATTTTTGAAGAGGTGGCTGAGGTACAACCCTGTCATTAACATGTATTGCACCCTGAAAAGAAAAAGAATGTGAATGAGATTGTATTACTATTGTCACAGTTTAGAAGCTAATGGTCACTGGATCTCCATGAACTACTAAAAAATGACATTTGACAATTTTATAGGATGCAGACAATTATTGATGTTGCATTATTACCACCATGGCTGTATAATCAAGACAGCCAAATACATTCAAATTATAAAGGTAAAAACATAAATATGTAAAACAATCCATCACATTTACCTTTTGGGGTCAGGATATATTAAAAGACAGTTGAATGTATTGCACAGCAGCTAGTTTTTTGTATTTCTCTAGTAAGATAATACAGAAAAGATTCCAAAGAGTATACTTTTAACACAAGGAGGAAAAAAAGACACTACCATTTGCATACTAGAATTATAGTTAGATACCAAAGTTGGTTTACAACTATGACCAAAATTGCAATATGATCATAATAGAAACAGTCAATATATACAAAATATAGACGGAAATGTTCACTCTATAACTTCAGCTTTGTAACAGATACTATAACCAAAACTAGAAAGTGAATTACTTCCCATATAAAACTATTTCTGAAAACTCCATAAACACAGATAATGTCTGACAGTCCTACCATCCAATCAGATCCACAGCTAGTGCCTTGTTTACTGGGTTGCTATCAGAGGGGGAGGGTGAAAAGGATGGGAAAAACGACTGATGATACATTATCAACTTAACTGTAGAATCAAGACATTCAAATGTGTTCAAATTTAAAAATTTCAAACGCACGAAAAGAAGTCATACCTCATCTGTCAATCTGTCAATCCTGTATAAGTTAGGGTGAATCATTTTCATCAGATGAACAAGTGGCTGTGACTTTATCTGGCACATGGCATACACACGATCATCCAGGCGTGTGCTTGTACCAGTCCTAAATGCTTTCTACAAGGAAAAATATATTTTTCAAGTAAAACGTAAATACAATGGACAAATATGAAAATAAATATATACCATCAATCATAGAAAAAGCAGCCTCCAGAGTCAGGCAGGCCTGGATTCATGCTCAGCTCTGACATTCAATAGGTAGGTATGTGACATTGAGCGTTTTACTTAGCTTCTCTGAGCTATATTGTCATCAGAAGACAAACAAGGAAAATAATCTCTCTAGGTTGTTGTAAGGATTAAATAAGCTGATGTTATCTATAAAACATGAGGCCTGACACAAGGAAAGATGTTCAATAAATACTACGTCTTTTCCTTAGAGCCTCTTTCAAGAAGCACGTATTAAGAATGTGCTGTGACTGCACCATTACTCAAACTGCTCAGACATATTAAAGAAAGAAAGCATTTGGTTTCACATGAGTCACCATGTATTTATACACCCTTGCTTTCCATTGATCTTTTCCTAGTCTTCAAAACTCTTCAAATGGTAAATAGCATAAACCTCTAGTTAACTACTAGAAAAATTTGCATTTCATTCCTTCACCTATGTATTTAAGAATGAAAAGAAAAACTTTATTAAATATAACTATACAGAGAGGTACCTGTTTGAGAAGGGCCAAAACATAGAGAGGAAACAACTTGAGGGAGCTGGGTGCTATCAACGCCGAGTGCTGTAAATTTGAGACCGTTGAGCCATACGCAGATAATGAATCCACGACAGCATTCACTAAGGCATCTCTTGCATCTGATAGACTTGACGAAACTGATCGATCCACAGCTATAACCAACCAAAATTAAAACATATTTAACCATTAGATTCCAATGAATGCTGTCAGTAAGAGAGAAAATTTCCATGCGTTATTTAAAAAAAAACAAATAATTCAGTTTGTTGGATAGAAATATGTATCTTACTTGTTCCTTCATTGTACAAGTGTATGATGATTACACAGTATTTCTTAACTAAATCAGACTGAATAAATCGGAGAATTAGAACAAGTCTACATTCTTTTGGATTTTTTTTTTTTAATGTCTCCAGTCTAAAAACATTGAGCTACTGTTAGCATTAGAGAATGCATATCACCCATCTACTTCTCAAAAAGCCCTGGGGATGTTTCCATTACTCAAATGAAAGCCACAAGTATAAATTATCATTTGTTTGTGTGCAACCAATGTAAATTCCTCATCTGAGATATCGCTTGTGATCCTCTAAAACCTTCTTTGTCAAAGCATTCCAGGTCGACAAACAAAAGACAGAGTAAGCTGAATATAGGCTTTCTCAGACACTGGGGAGCCAGATAGCAGAGTGAAACTTATTTTTCTCAAGTACATATTTTACTGAAATACAGGGATAACCTATATATATGTCCAAGTATTAAACATAAAATTACATGTATAATTAATTTGAAATCTAGATATAAAATGATTCTTAAAACTGGGATCCCTTAGTAAATGCTACTTTTTAATTCTCCCTGAAATGAGTGACACTGACTGTTTTTTCTTCAGGACTTCATGGGAAACAGCAAGGCTCGTTTCATGTCTAAATTCATCTAAAAGGCAAATTCATTAAAAACAAAACAAAATACTCAACGCTATATTAATTCCCCAAAGGACTGTTTTTTTATCTTACATATAATAAAATTCATCTTTTGTGTATGGTTCTATGGTCATCATGTGTCAAATGCATAGTCATGTAATCACTACTGCAAGAATACAGAACAATTCCATCATCCCCCAAAAGTTCCTCTGTGCTGCCCCTTTGTAGTACAACCCTTCCCTACCTCCACCAGCCCCGGGCAATCACTTAGCTAGTCTCCAACCCTGTAATTTTCCTTTTTCTAGAATGTCATATAAATGGAATCATATGCATGCAGTCTCTTGAGTCTAGCTTCTTTCACTTGGCATAATGCTAAGTAAGTCATCCATGTTTGTTCATGTAGCACTAGTTCATTCCTCATTGCTGAGTTGCATTCCATTGTATGGATGCACCAGTTTGTTCATACATTCACCAGCTGAAGGACATCTGAATTGTTACCAGTTTTTAGTGATTATGAATCCCCCAAAAGATTTTTAAACTAAAGAATTGGTAAGAAAATATGAGAACAGTTCAAGTCATACTGCAGTAAATGAAAATGTAAAACAAATACTTTCAAAATAACAGATTTCTAGGGTTAAAAAAAAATGCCCTAAACATCAGTTTTTAGGATAGAAAACTACATTTTCCCTGATCCCTCACTTTTTTACTCACCCATATTTGCTAGCAGGCAGATGGCAGCTTGTACATCCACTCCTGCATATACATCTGCTAGTGAACTTACCACTGGCAAACAAAGTGTATGTACTCTAATCCTCCGCTCACCTAAACAAAATCATGAATAAATGTCATTGCTAAATACGTCAGACCAAGAAAGAAATAAAATAAACAGGTCAACTTTTTATTCAAGGTATTGTTTCGACTAGATTAAACCATCAACAGAAGTGTGAAATGTAAAAACAACGTCTTACAACTAACAGGTTTTAAAGAAAGTTGAACATTCTCTGAAGCCCCTGAGTGGTGCAAACAGTTAATGCGTTTGGGGCTAACTGAAAAGCTAGAGGTTCAAGTCCACCCAGAGTCGCCTGGAAAGAAAGGCCTGGTGATCTACTTCCAAAAATCGGTCACTGGAAACCCACGGAGCCCAGTGCTACTCTGACACACAGGAGGTCGCCATGAGTTGGCGTTGACCTGATGGCAACTGGTGCGCTCTCTGCATTTGAAGACAGACGATGAACATTTTGTGTCTAGTTGAACAAGAGGTTCTGGTTTTTATTTTAATGTCACTCACACTAAATTATATCCAACAGTTAAACACAAGAAAAATTAATAATAAATGCAGGCCTTAACTGCTATGCAGAATTTTTTATTTTATGGGGCAAGAAATAATGCTATGGATAGCACAGCTGGATTTAGTAAGAGATGTTTACCAGAAACATATGCTCCTGGGGACACAAGGCTTCCATAAGTCTAAAAAGATATTTAAAGATTCAACGATAGTGAAAACAAAACAAAAAAAAAGAACATATATTTGAGTAACTAATGCAAATTCCATTATTTCCCACTGTATGTTCATTCTTTCGCCCCAATACTAAAGAGCAGGTGAAAGCAGGGGTGAGTTAGTCCTGCAGGCTATATTTAACTTCTGTAAACATTACCTTTGCTTGATGTATACAATAGGGCTGTCTGAAAGCACACTAAAGAAGTATCTGTCAAATTTTCTTCAATTGATAGCTGTACTGCAAATCCAGCATCAGGATTGATGTTGGCCAGGGACAACAAATCAGTGGAACGAACAAAGAAGTTTCCATGAAAAGTGTGCATGGAAAGACCTAGGAAATAGAAATCTAGATATAAAAGATGAAATAACACTAGTATGTTTATCTCAGGCTAAAGTTACTTTTTAAAGCCAAAGATGCCTCTGAATTTGAATCCAAAGGATAACTGAAGAGGTAGGGTTGGAGCGTGGGCTGAGGTTCTAAAATACTCATACAAAAAACCAATGCAGGTTATATAAAAATGAGACTGAATATTTAACATGTATTGATAACTAACTCGTCTTAACATTTTCTCATACATAACTTGAAGTCGGACAATAAACATACAAAATTAAACAAATGAAGGTTACTGTACAACTCATTTTAGATTTAAAATGCGGCAGCACAATCCCTCAAGCAAACATTCACACAAAACCAAGGAAATGTAATTGAGGACTATTTCAGTGATTATGCAGGCAAAGATCCTTAATTTGACACTTTTAAGATCTTTCGTATTTCCTTAATTCTCCTTTTAAAATCAATTCCAATATGGGCTTTCTTTTAGGTTTCTCCTGAATAAAGCAAATCATTACTTTTGCCCACTTATTCAAGTTATATAAGAAAACTGGGCAACGATTCATCAATAAGTATATATACTTAAAACAGCAGGTGACTCTACTTGGACCAAACAGCAAATTCTCTATAAGAGTCATAATTAGGTGTTAATTTTGACACAAGTATGTAACATAAAGCATAATTTTTATAATTTCATACCTTTAGTACACCGTATCCTCATAACAGCTTCAAATCCAATTTTTCTTGTGAGATAACGTTTTAGGTCTTTGTGCAACTTCTCTGCTTGTGAAGGATTGTGAGTATAGTGGAAAGATGGATAATAATAGATGCACCCTGCAGAATACTTGGATATACAAGCTTTAGAGAGAAATTGTAAAAACTATTAGCTACAGAAAAAGTAATATACTACTTGTCCATATAGTAAGTACCGATCCTATATTCTGAAGACATCTATATCATAATGAGAAAACCTAAGCTGTCAAAATAAGTATACAACTGAGCAAAAAGAAACACAGACAAAACTATAGGACAGAAGATAATACATGTGAGGAATGTGCTTCTTGGTTCAATAGGATATGCGAGACCAGGTGGGCAGTTCCTGTCCAGGAACAGGATGAGAAGGCAGGAAGGGACAGGAGTTGGCTGAATGGACACGGGGAACCCAGGGTGGAAAGGGGGAGTGTTGCTGTCAAACTGTGGGGATTGCAATCAATGTCACAAAACAACATGCATAAATTTTTGAATGAGAAATTAACTTGAGCTGTAAACCTTCATCTAAAGCACACACACACACACACACACACAAAACCTCCCTATGTATGGAGCAGTTATACTCTGTAACCCTAACCCTAACCCTGTCACCATGAATCAGAATCGACTCAACAGCAACAAACAATAACAACATAGTACTTTACAGTTTACTAATAATTTTCATAGATATTATCTTTTTAATTCATATGCCTTGCTACCCAAAATATTCAGAACTGAAAGCTCAGATTTAATCATGTGTTAAAAATTTTTACGTAAACCCATGAAAACAACCATATCTCCTTACCTAGAGAAGCCAGATCAGAATACTGTGAACTTAAAAGGAACAGATCCACTGCAGTCTGCTGCCCTGAGCAATCTAAAGCGAGTTTCTTATAAAAATCAGTTGCAGGGCCAAGGTGTTGTACAACCTAAGTCAACAGATCACAAAGTTAGAGCTAGAAACATTTAATTATGCACGTATTTCTATGTCTCCCTTAAAATAAGGAAGGGGATATCCTCTGCTCCCTACCAAACTAAGGAGGAGTTTTTCAATGTCTAGGCAGTTGGCATTATCTCCAATAATAATGATAGTTAATATTTATAAAGCAGTTACTGTGTACCAGCACTGTCTGAGATGCTTTATGTAAATTAACTCATTCGATCCATATAACGGTACATATCTCAAGGGTTTTTATTATCTATATTTACAAATAAGGACACTGAGATACATGACAGTTAAGTAACCTGACCAAGATTGCACAGCTGTTGAGCGTTGGATACTAGAATATAAACCCGAGCAGTCTGACTCCAGAGTAAGGGCTGTAAAGCATTGTTACAGAGTATTATATAACAACATGAAAGAGTAACAAATGAAGGAGGATTTTTTCCTATTAGTATGAGGAATCTTGAGCTGAGAAGGAGGTATTGGAGACCAAAAGAATTAAAAATCCAAGAGAGAGGCTCCAAGTTCTTAAATCACTATGTTATATTGCATAACAAAATGTTTTAATCCTTTTGAGAGTTTATTCAGATATGATGCAATATGTAAACCATAACAGATATTTAAGCTTTTGAGTCC